AGGGAAATAGGGTCCCCCACCTCGCTTGCTGAATTTTTGCTAATTATTTTGTACCGCTTTTTGTAAAGGGAAAAAAAAAAAACAAATTAAATTATCTGCCGGGAAACGGGCCCAGCGTATTGCGCAGCGCTTTGGGGGGGGATTGGGGAGAGGTGGTTGGGGGGGAATTCGGGAGGGGTGGTTGGGGGGGGATTGGGGAGGGGTCGGGGAGGATGCTGCGCTATTATAAGCCTGCCTGTACAGTAGGTGCCACTGAACGTCGCCTGATGGATGGGGATTTTTTTATTTTGATGGCATTTTTCTTTTGCTTATTAAATACAATAGAGAATGGAATAAGATTTTTATTCAAATAAGATTATTTGAATTTTATTCACTATTTTATTTACAATTTATTTACTTGCGCGCCTGTATTCCGACAACAGATAATGGGTGTACCAACTGCGGCTGGGGCCGTTGGATGGTGATTTGTTCTTCTTATGTTCACCTCTTTTTTCAGTTATTATTTCTTTTATCTCTACCTTTTTTTTTCAGTTTTTTTCTTTTCTTTCCGTTATCTTTTTTCCCCAGTTCTTTCTATTTTTTCTCTCCCTTCTTTTTTCAGTTTTTTCTTTTCTTTCCGCTACCTTTTTTTCCCCTATTTTTTCTCTCCCTTTTTTTTTCAGTTATTTCTTTTTTTCCCTACCTGTGTTTTTTCCTTATTTCTTTTTTACCTCTTTGTTTGATAATTACTCATGTTCATCCTTTCCAGCAGTGTTTGTTCTTTGTTCCCCTTCTTTTATTTTTCCCCCAACGCACGGCACAATAAAAACTGATCTTCTTCCCAAAAAAAAAAAAAAAAAAAAAAGAAAAAGACTACTTCTCTCTTCAGTTACACGGCTCGCTGAAATTCTTCGTAGTGTGTGTGGGGAAAAAAAATAATAATAATAAAAAAAAAATCTTCAGAGTGTGGTGGTTATATGTTTTGGCTCCCATCCCATCCAATCGTCCACGTTTTTCTTTTTTTCCATTTTCCCGCTAAAAAAAATTGCCATCTATTGATCGACTCTTCCCAAACAGTAAAAGCACGAGGACCATTTTTTTAAATTTTTTTTACTTTTTTTTTTTGTGTTTTGGAGGACGGGTTTTCACAGTGTGCCACAGAGGGGGGAGGAGGGGGGGAACTCAAAACAAGGCATGAACCACGAAGAGGAATGTAGACCATTGCTGGACTGCGCAAATTTGTTTTTTTTTTTTCTTTTCTTTTTTTTTTTTGGACTGTGCAAAATTGTATGTACTGAGTTGTACTACTTTTTTTTTTTTTTTTTTTTTCCGAATTGAGAGAAGAAAGAAGAAAGTTAAGAAAAAGGAAAAATGGCAAAATGCATGTATGACGTGATCGGGCTTCTTCTCCTCTCCTCCTCCTCCTCCTCCTCCTCCTCCTCCTCCTCCCCTTCCTCTTCGCCTCCGCCTCCACCTCCTCTTATCCTCCTCGTCCACATCCTGCTCCCCCTCATCTTCTCCTCTTCCTCCTCCCCCTCCTCCTCTTCCTCCTCCCCCCCCTCCTCTTTTCCTCCTCCTCCCCTCCTCTTCGCCTGCAACTATGATTTCGGACCATGTCAGATAATGAACCCTCCTCGTCTTCCTTCCTTCTTTCTTCGCCTTGCTCATTTTATTGTTTTTCGTAGTATAATAATTATCATTATAAAATTATTTATTACAATTATTTAGTGTATAATTACTATCACAACTACTATTCATTACATTGACTTTTTTTTTTTTTTTTTTTTCCTATTGTCACCACTCCGATCCCGATGTGCGTGCAAGATCACCCGGCGACGAAGTCCTCCTTCTCCCTCACGCTATGTTATGGACCATCATCATCATCATCATCGTCGTTCTTCTTCTTCTTCCACTTCTTCCACTTCATCATCATCATCATCTTCATCATCATCATCATCTTCATCTTCATCTTCATCGTCGTTGTTCTTCTTCTTCCTCTTCTTCCACTTATTCGGTTTTCTTTAACGTTATTATTATATTATTATATTATTATTATTATATTATTATTATATTATTATTATATTATCACTATTTCTTTACTTCGATTTTTACCACTCTGATCCCAGTCTGCATCCCGGTGTGCCTGCAAGACCCCCCCCCCCCCCCCCCATCCCCCCTCAC